ATTTTAATGAAGTTTCTTTTATAAGTTTTTTTTTGATGTGACACGAGTTCACACTGATGTTTAGAGTTGAATTACTAGTGAGAAGCACAACATGCCTGTGTAAATTCTTTTACATGTGTGTCCTTATCTAGCTTCTCCAAGTGCCTCCAAAGACAGTGACAGAATGCAGCATGTCCATCCAGTCCCTGCTGGACATCCCACCAGCAAAATACCGGCCGCCCCACCCGTCCCTTCCACTCTCTTCCGGTCCCTTCCCAACCGCTCGAGCAGTTGCATTGCAGGTCCCTTCTGTCAGCATGTGGCTTGCTCCCAGGTCCGGTCTAGCTGCTGAGAGGTGAAGGTGGTGAGCTCAGCCTTAGGCTTTATGCTTCTGTCCCTTCTGTCCCACCTGTACCTGTGAAGAAGAAGAAAGGTAACCAAATCCATGATGGCGGATGAATTCTTTAAACAAATGAACATTAAGTCACAGAGCACTGTTGAAAACATGAGAGATCTTGTGTATTGGATTTTCTTCCTAATGTAACTTTCACCTTTTTTTTCTTTTGTGATTAATAGAACATTCCAGGATGCTAGAAAAAAATATCACTTTGGAGAGCCCTTCTCTCGTTTCTCTCACCTGCGAGTTCACACCATCAGGAAATGTGACATTGGTCAACGTGACCTGGACCAGAGGCACCGAGCTGATGCTGCGCTCTCCTCACGCAGTGTTCGCGGACAACACCGTGCATGCCCAGTACCAGTGAGTGCGACCCGAGCCCTGGCGGCCGCGCCGAGCCAGCGTAGTCTAGTTTGTGTGTCTACAGAACTGTTTCTGTTTTACAATTTTGATTATGGCTCCGTGCTCATTTCGCAGTGTTTTTGAGACCGAGCCTTTATTAACATCTCGGATTGTCTTTTAGGTTCTCCATCATCAACAGCAAGCAAATGGGGAGCTATTCCTGCCTCTTAGAAGGCAAGCAGGAACAAAGGGGAACGTTTAACTTCAAAGGTCAGTATTAATAACTTGCAGAGTCATAACTTAGGAATTATGCTCTTAGGTTTGTAAATCCCTCAGGCTTAACGTTACCAGTGTGCTACACAGTAAAGCTGTTGTTCCTCCCCTTTTGGCTTGCTGTTTTCTGCCACCGTGAGCACCCCTGTGCCCCTGCACCCCTGTGCCCCTGTGCTCCTGCCCCTTGCACCTGCCTCTGTGCACCTGCGCCCGTGCCCCTGCCCCTGCCTCCCTGTGACCCTGTGCCCCCGCTCTTGTGCCCCCTGTGCCCCTGCCCCTGTGCCCTTGTGCTCCTGCCCCTGTGCACCTGCCTCTGTGCCCCTGCGCCTGTGCCCCTGTGCCCGTGCCCCTGCCTCCCTGCCCCTGCCTCCCTGTGCCCCTGTGTCCCTGCTTCTGTGCCCCCTGTGGCCCTGCCCCTGTGCCCCTGTGCCCGTGCCCCTGTGCCCCTGTGCCTTGGAGCCAGCCTGTGTTCTGAAACCTCCCTACCCGAGAGCTAAATAAGCCTTCAAAACAAAGCAGCTGAGAGCGTTTTCCGCGGGACCCCAAGGGCAGCGCAGCGAGTCCCCAGGCATCTGGCGGCTTCACGCCCGCCGTATCCTTGGTGGAGGACAGCCCGAAGCTCCTGGCGAGTCCCACCAACCCGCGTTGCCCCTCTTCGGCCTCGCGGCTCAGGGCGCACCTCCCCCGGCTTCTGGGCACCGTGTTCCGGACTGGACCGCACGGGCGCTGCCCTGGAGGCTCCAGGAGTGGCATTCAGGGCCCTGAGCGTGTGCCCGCGCTGGGTGAGGTGGGGAGGCAGCGGTCAGCCTGTGTGGGTTGCGCAAGGAGCGGTGAACTGTGCTGCGAGTCTAAAAGGCGGCTTGTGTGGGCCCCCCACGCGCAGAGCGGGTGGCTCCGGAGTGACCCTCCTGGGCCTGCACGGAGGCCAAGTGCCTTAGGTTACTGCGTCTTTTACTTAATCAACGTTGACATTTCTTTTCTTTTTTTTGTCGGAACTGGGGATTGAACTCAGACCCTTGTGCTTGCCAGGGAAGCGCTTATTCTACTGAGCCATCTCCCAGGCCCAACATTGACATTCCTTAAACGTGTTTTGATTCTTGGCCAAAATATTTAGCTTAAATAACCTGCATGTGGGTACAGAATATTTTCTTTACACCATTGTTCTATAAGTTTTTTAAAAAATGTTTAAGGTGTTTTATTACTTACTGGGGGCGGGGGTGCTTGGTAATGTTTGCTCACAATTTAAGACCATGCCAGGCCAGGCCCGCGTGGGGACCGTCGTGGATGCCACCTTCACCTCCACCCACAGCCGCTCCTTCTGCTGTCTGCCGGGTGTGTCACCACCTCGGGTGCCCCCCAGCCTCCTCCCGAGTCCTCTGTGAGGTCCTCCCAAGGCTGACGTTGCCTAGGTGTCTTGTTTAGAAACAGACCAATGGGGAGGCATTTGGTCTTTTTAAATGGTACATTTGCTCATGAGCAGTTAATCTATCACGAATATTCCTTTCTCTTGATAAAAGCTTTCTGGCGTCAGGGTTCACGTTCCCAGACTCCTTAGGAGGTTGTGTCGGGGATGCAGAATCTTCTGCTGAATTCTTTACTGTGTATCTTTTGGGGGGTTCCCTTTCTTTTGTTTTCTTCCTTTTTTGTCTGTTTGAGACACGCACAGGCTCTCACTGTGCAGCTCAGGATGGCCTGAGCTCACTTTGTACATCAGGCTCGTCTCGAACTCGCAACAGTCCTCCTCCCCGAGCCTCCCGAGTGCTGGATTAGAGGAGTGCGCCACCACAGCTGGCTACTGTTCTTTCAGTATGTGAGAAAGGCCATCAGATCTTGAGAAAGTGCTTATTAAATCTTGTGTCTTAAATGCTCCCAAGAAATTGAGCTATCACCATTAGTTTTAAAACATTTTCTTCTGTCTTCTAGATTGTTCTCCAGAAATACTATGTAATAGTCATTCCTGGTCAAAGCTCACGTCTTAACTGCATTACATTTTTTTTTTTTTTTTTTTTTTGGGGGGAACCGGGGATTAAACTCAGGTCCTTGCGCTTGCCAGGGAAGCGCTTATTCCACTGAGCCATCTCCCTGGCCTTACATTACATTTTTTTGATATTAGTCTTCACCATAAACTATTTTTTAGCTCAGTTTTTTTTTTTTTTTTTTTTTTTTTTTGGCAGGAGGAATACTAGGGATCAAACTCGGGAGCTTGTGCTTGCCAGGCAGGTGCTTATGCTGCTGAGGTATCTCCTCAGCCATAAACAATTCCTTTTAAAGACAGGGTCTCACTGTGTAGTCCACGCTGGTCTTGAACGTGGGGACCCTCCTGCCTCAGCTTCCTCAGTGCTGAGATTCCAGGCATGTGCCACCACACCTGGGCCACCTTAAATTGTTGCATGAAGTGACCCTTCTCCCCTCTGAGGCACAGGTTATCAGAGCGCTTGCTTTTCATTGTTGGTAGGCAGTTTAATGCTTTGTGCTCAGACAGGGCCTCTTGGCTCCTCGCGCCTTGTGACAGCTAAGCTGATGCCAGCTGCCTGGGAGCACCACTTTGGGGTGGAGTTTAAGTTAGGTGTTTCAGAACACAGAGGGGCGCGCAGTACTTTGCTCCTTTCCTAACTCTGAAGCGGTTTAGTTCAACTCATTTGTTTTTAACAGCCACTGAACATTAATGCATCTTTTACGCATGCACCGTGTCCTGCAGGCAGCATGCGCCGTGTCCTGCAGGCAGCATGCGCCGTGTCCTGCAGGCAGCATGCGCCGTGTCCTGCAGGCAGCATGCATCGTGTCCTGCAGGCAGCATGCATCGTATCCTAAAGACACTTATAAAATTAATAAATTGAATCCTTCCAGATTTTCCTTGATAAAAATAACAACTCTATAATTCATCTAAATTGCATATTGGCTGGAGAAATAATGTCATTTGAGTAAAATTTTCAAAGGCATCTACAAAATAACTTCTATTTAAGATTATTGTTTTGCCGTGTGTGGTGGTGCACACCTGTAACCCCAGCATTGGAAGGCTGAGGCAGGAGGACTGCTGTGAGTTCAAGGCCAACCTGGGCTATATAATAAGTTCAGGGGCAGCCTGAACTATACAGTGAGACCCTGTCTCAAAAAACCTAAGTAAATAAATGTATTGCTTTACTAGGTCAGTAAGGATTATAGAATGGTGTGCATTGTTATAAATGTCCTGCTACATTTTTTCTATATGGCTTGCTTGTGTTTTTTTCTAAGAATAATTATTTTCTGAGTGCTACCATGGAATGTGGATGAAAGCCTGCTTTATCCTCTGTTTTACTGTAAGCCCCCCAAAATATGTATTTTTCCATCTTACTGTAGACAGCACAAGTTGCCTGTAGCTCACGAGCTGGCCCCTGGGAGTGCTGGGAGCCCTGACAGCCCTGACAGCCCTGGGAGTGCTGGGAGTCCTGGGAGTCCTGGGAGTGCTGGGAGTCCTGGGAGTCCTGGGAGTGCTGGGAGTCCTGGGAGTCCTGGGAGTCCTGGGAGTCCTGGGAACCCTGGGATGGCTCATCCTCAGGGCCTGCATCTGTCTGGGAGCTGACTGGCTTGTTAGTATGGGAATGGAAGTGGACCGCAGCCTCACCAACTAGTAAGATGTGAAAATACCTGCTGACCTTCCGTGTTCACTGGTGGTGCTAGGGTGGGTGACACAGCGGCAGCACACCCTGGAAGCTTGCGCCTGCTGATGCCTGGTGGTCACTTTGCATTCATCCGGGAAGGATGCGGGAGGAGCGCTTTCTCAGTCGGGGCCTTACCTTCCAGAAGCATCCACAGCGGTCGTCAGTATTCCAGCTGCTCTGTAGAAAGCATGCACCACTGTAATTGGAAGAGCCTAGAACTTCCTGGAGTTTGTGATGAGCTTTGCCCCTCACGTGAGGCCAGTGATGTGTTTGTGCCGAAACAAGGTTGAGGGAGGCACATGCGGCGTGAACACCAGTCATCACGCCCACGAACCGCAGGATCCACGATGGGTCTTGGTAGCACCCGGTGGGGCGAGACAGATGTCCTATCTGCCTGTCCCCCTGTAAATGTCCTTGAGTGAAGTGTGGAAGAGCAGTGTGATAGGCCGGAGCCGGCAGAAGTGCTTCCTTGGTTATGAGAAGTGTGCCCACCTCGGCTTGGGAGGTGGGCTGGGTGTCGGTTACCGCCGGCTGTGTGCCTTCGCAGGTGACGCGTGTGCTCCTTTCCCCTCCGCAGTGCAGCCTTCAGCTCTGTCCCTGTCAGCTTGGGAGATCGGGTGACACCTGATTTAGGTACAGTTTAGGCCACAAGGAGGAAGCTTGCTCCATGCCCTGTGGTGGCAGTCACCGAGTGACAGCCCGCAGGGAACACCGACCTCTTAGCGGTTGTCCAAGCTGGAGTGTCTTCTGCTTCCGTTTTCCCCGCGTGAGCGTCTTTGCTGCAGTTATGTGCCCAGCCGTGCCCGGTACCTGTGGGCAGAAGTCGCACCTGGCAGAACATTCCATCCTGAAACGCATGTAGCAATTAAAACTGATCTGTTTCTTACCTTGCTCCTCCCAGACACAAAGTCTAAAAATAGATTAAGACACTTAATATCCATAACATTTGTCAGTAGAGGAACTTGGACGGCTGTATGCGCACATATTTTTCCTTGCTGGTGAACAAGACAAATGAGAAGTAAAAAAGCAAAAGTGGAAATGAACTAAAATTAACTGAAAAATTAACACTAGTAATCTTTGTTGATGAGTTTGTCGGTTTTTATTGTGTATTTTAGGATGCCCCAGAAGGAGCCGCCCTTGAAGGTGAAGGCGATACAGAGGCTTTTATTGTGTTGCTTGCGCTGTTAGGTTTTAATTTGCCTAGCCAAATTATTCGTATTTTAAAGTTTAAGTTTTCTAAATTCGGTGCTCATTAGTATTGTTAGTGGTGACATTTTATCACAGCGAATATTAGCATATCAATTCTTAACATGGGTGTTTCAAAATTTCATTTTCTTAGACTTTTTTTCTCCGTAATTTTCCTGTATTTGCTGGCTTTTTGTGAATTTGTATGGACTGAAGATTGTTCTTGCCTGGACAGTTTTTTCCCTTAAAATGCTGTTTAAAGGTAACCCTGAAGGAGCGAGTGCTCTGCCCTCACGCAGTAGGTCCTGTGCGCGCACATTAGGTGTGTCGCTGCAGTTGTGGGGTGTGTGGGGTGCTTTACCGAGGATGCCCCCGCTTCTAACTCCTGCCACCATTATACGCTACTGCCTGCAACTCCCTTTCATGTAAATATAACTGACATAAAGAATCACATTAATGAGAAAATGAAATAAATGTCTTCAGAAAGTCCATTTGTTTTGCTTAAACTATTTCTATAACATACATTTCTTTAAATTTTTCTTAGTTCCCGAACTTAGTGGAAAAAACAAGCCGTTCATCACTTACGTGGGGGACACTGCTGTGCTGGTGTGTAAGTGTCCCAAGTGCCTTCCCGTGCGCTGGGCCTGGTACAGAAGTAACGGGAGCGAACAGGTGAGGCCACGTTGCTTTCCTTTGGAGAAAACAAAAACATCCTTTACTTCATAACTAGCAAGACTAGAACAGACTCACGGTCCTGGGGCTACTGATGCGTCTGATTTTATTTTAATATATGTTTCATGAAGGATGCTTATCCGACTAACCGCATGCCACGCTGGCCCCACCTTGGGCGCACTGAGCCAGCGGTGGAGTCTGGGCGTGGTGGCGCATGCTTGTAACCCCGGTGCTAGGGAGGCAGAAATCAGGAGATCACCGCGAGTCCGAGCTGCGTAGTGAGACCCTGCACAAAACAAACAACAGAAAAGAAAAAGAAAACTTTGATAAGTGGTGTTATTTGTGTTCGGCATATTACATTATTCATCTAAAGGTGCTCTTCGTGTGTCCTGAATTCGTACTTTGATTTTTTAGGTTTAGCAGTTGATTTAAATGCTTAGAAAGCAATTTACAGTTTGCTTTTAGTTCACCAATTTAGAAATAACCCCACCAGAAAAGATTCTTTTCTTCCATGAAAGTAACTAGGAAGAAAAAAGTCCTTCTTTCTTTCTGGGTTCCTGTCCTGAAGTGTCGGTGCTAGAGTGTAAGGGTGGAGCATCATTAGGAAAAAAGAGAACTCGGTGGCTTGCAGTTGGGCCTGAGGCCGCCGCGGCGCCACGGTTGCTTGGCCTTCCTGTGCTGGCGGGAGGCTGAGGCAGTGCCGTCATTCTCACTCACCTGAGGAGTAGAAAGGGCGCTGAGGGCTGGAGGATTTCAGGCTCGGCCTTTCAGGGAACCTCCCTCTTTCCCTGGTCCTAATGAGCATTAAATTACATCCCTGGTGCAGGTGAGCTGGGCTGCTGAAAGGAAAAGGATCTGACAATGAAATATTAAATTCCTTCTGAGATAAAATTGGTGCCGGGTGGCCGCTGGGGGATGGCAGAGGAGGAGGAGGACCTGGGAAGGGTGACAGGTTCTGAGGACATCGGTGTAATAACAAAGACCCCCCCCCCCCACCGGTTGTTTAGCTGCACACTACTGAGGGCCGTCATTCCTTTGCTGTCCGCCTTACTGGTGATTGGGTCAGGCACAGAGCAGGCTTTATTTTTATTTATTTATTTTTTAATTTTTGAGAGAGGGTCTTGCTATGCAGTTCAGGCTGACATAAACTCACCCTGTAGCCCAGGCTGGCCTCACACTGGCAGGGATCCTCCTGCCTGAGCCTCCCAAATGCTGGGAGTTACACGCATGCACCACTACACCTGGCTGAGAAAGGCTTTATTTTTATTTACTTATTTATTTTGTATTTGAGGGAAGGGTCTACGGCGTGTTCAGGGTCTCACTACTAGGTTGGACTTGTGATTCTCCTGTTTACAGCCTCCCCAAGAGCTGGGATTACAGGCTTGTGCCACCACGCCCGATCTCAGTTGCTGTGTCAGCGTGCTCTGGGTGTGGGGCTGGCACGGCAAGCCCCGGGATCACACCCCTGACGCCTGCGCCAAGCAGGCACTTTAATCTGTAGAACACTTTAGCTGGCCCTTTGAAAAAGGTTTTAAAAGAAAATATTCAACTGTGGTATTTATGCACACGTAATGTCAGGCAACCAAGGGCCAGAGAGACAGCTCATAGAATAAGTGCTTGCTTGGCAAGTGCAGGGTCCTGAGTTAAATCCCCGGTATTACAAAAAATAAAATAAAATAAATAAATAAATAAAAATAAAAATAAAAATAAAAAAAAGACAAAAAACCAACAGGCTAAGTGTGTTGTAACCCAAAAATCAGAAAACGGACTCAAAAAAAGAAAGCGCTTTATTTAGCTGAGCTCAGCGGCAGCACATTCTCTCGTCTCCAAGTAGGTGCGCGCCGAGGTGGGGAGAGACGAGGGTTTTTAAAGCTGAAAACCGCAAAGAGGGGGGTGACTTGAGCACGAGGGAATGCAGCACTGGGGTCAGCGTCCACTTACAGGAAACAGGTTACATTCTTTTAACATGCAGTTACAATTTTTAAGAACAAATAATTCTTATAACATGGTGTTGATCACAGGATGTCACAAAAAGATATCGAGATAATTTTTAAAATGGGCAGTTATCCTTAGAACAGAGAGTTACTACCTTAAGATATGGGGCTGATCACAAGAAACATTGTGAACAGGGACTTGTCCTTGGAACAGAAAGTTATCTTAGGATGTGAGGCTGATCACAGGAAACTTTGTAAGACTGCCTTTAACAGTCTGTGGCTCAGAACAAAGGAATATTTTGAACATTAACAAAACTGTGTTCAGAGGCCAGACGGACGGCATGAGCCACAAAGATGAAGTCTAAGTTGTCAGCTTATGCCAAACAGTCCTCATTAATAAACTTACAGTGGAAACATACAGAGTTACAAATTTGAATCAACTGCACAGGTTATAACAAGTCAAATTATATTAACATTGACACATGTCATTTACATAGACTTGGGTTTCTCTGCATTTGCAAGTCATTATCCTTGCAGTTTGGCTCTAAGCACCACCATAATAGGGTATGGAAAAGTACTGGTGGGAAGGTGGCTCAGCTTAGCCGGCGCTGCAGGCCGCTGCCGCCGCAGAGCCAGCAGGGGCCCTGTCTTCACCGCAGCCCTGTGATCTTCAGCTCTGACTCTGCATAGCAGTTGTCGGAAGCATCCAGGCAGTGCTGGGCACACACCCCAGGTCACAGGATGCAGATGGGCGTTCACTGAATGGTGACACTGCCAGTCAGAGCAGGGATGCCAGCCAGAGGCCTGGGTGTAGAATTTCATTAAAATAGAAGAAGAGTGTCAGCTTCCAGGTAGCCTAGTGTGGTGATCCTGAGCCGGGGCAAACCCAGAGACCTCAAGAGCCAGTTTGGGGTGGACAGGGGCATAGGAGAATGTTGGGGTAAGTGGAAAGAGGGAAGCAGGCTGCGCCCCATGGGCTGCCTCTCCTGCCTCAGCTCCAGAGGTGTCCGCTGTGGTCACTGCACGGGGACCCTGTTGCTAAGCAGCGTCTTCTGTGTGAGCCATGGGTGAGCGTGGGCAGCCCCAGGAGGTGGTGGCTTCACTGGACACCTGTGTGAGTGGAAGACCAGCCTGGTCATGCTGGAATGTAGGAGCCAGAGAGCTGAATCCTCCAGTTTTTAGGCCTCAGGTAGTACTTGGAATGGCCTGCTCACTTGCTGGTGAAAATTCCGGGCCCCCTTTCCCACCCAAATCTGCTATGTGAAACTCTTACAGCAAGCTCCTTCGCCCTGTTCATCACCTGGAAGCCCCAAACTGGCGAGCCTTAAGGTCTGCTCTGCGTAGCTTCTCCTCATGCCAGTGTGCCTTTTTCCAGCAAGCAGTGTTCTCACTGTCGTAGAGCTTGGCTTAAAACTTGGGCCCGACAGGGCAGTCTCTTTTTCTCAGCATGATAGATGTGGATGTCAATGTCTCCTGACAGGTTCCGATCGATGCGCTCATGAACGACACGTATGTCATCAGCGGGACCCACAGCAATAAGACGAAGCTCAAGATCAAGAATCTCCGGGAAGAGGACGGGGGCGCCTACTGGTGCCGAGCAGAGTTCCAGCTGGGCCAGAGCACGGACCAGCTGGACCTTGTGGTGCTGAGCTTCCTGGTGCCCCTTAAGCCGTTCTTTGCTATCATCGCCGAAGTCATTGTTTTAATGTCTATTATTCTTCTGTGTGAAGTGTACACAAAGAAGAAAAAGAAGCACCCAGGTAGGATCCTGTGTTACATGGATAGTGTCATCACTTACAGGTTATGGTGTAACATGTTCCTGTGACTTTAAAATTTTGGGGAAATCTACCTTATTTGGAGCAGTCCATCTGTTAGTGACCGTGGTAAGAGTGAGCTGTGAGCCTGGATTGGTTTCTTGTTTCAACTTTAATAGTTTATTTATTCACTTGGTGTGACCAACATCTAAGCACCAGCTCCGACATCGGCGTTGTAACGGTGGGATGTTAGAAAGGCGGTGATTGGCTGATGCAAAAGGTCCTCCTAAGTGATAGTTTTCACTTAGCTAACTCACTAAAAACATTTCAGCTGACATTTTGAAGTTTTCTGGAAACAGCCATGGCTCTGGTGGGCTCCCTTGTTCTGTAGCCTGTGCTTGAGGTGCTGGAGTTGAGCCCCCAGCGGTCCTGTGAGGACACGCGTCTCGCATCCTGCATGCTTTCCTGATCTCATTTTCACTAATTCGTAAGTTTCTGAGACAGGGTCGTGCGGGCCTCGGGCTGGCCGTCCTGCGGCCTCGTTCAGCCTCTGAAGTGCTGCTGTCGTGAGTCTTGCAGCACCACGCCTGACTTGTTCAGTTTTTAATAACTGAATGATAGCCGGATGAGTCATCCTTTCGAAGATCCTCCGGCACTGAGCTGCTGTTGATCGGAGGCGCAGATAGGTGTGGAGCGCAGCGGGGAGGCCGCGCAAGGCAGCCGCCTGTCTTCATAGCAGAGCGTGCTGGGAACGGTGTTATTACCACAGGGCCAGGGTTTCATGAACGTGTTTGTGCTGTAAAAAAGAAATCATGTTAATTGTCGAATTCTTCTTTTGTTACACAGATGACGGGAAAGAATTTGAACAAATTGAGCAGCTGTAAGTATTATTCTTTCATAGATTTTCACTTGGTAATATCTGGAGGAATATGAAATGGAGTGAAGTGCTTGCCATTAGGTCCCAAAATGGCACGAGGCTGTGCATGGTGCTTTCTGTCCTGCCCAAGGTGCTGGCATGGATTCCGGGTTGGCTGCCTGTGCCGCAGTTGGACTTGCTGCCTCCCCTCTCCGCCTGGGCTTCTCCTGTGCAAAATGGGTCATGAAAGCATTTTCTATGTAAAGCTGTTGGGCTGAATACATCATACATGTAAACTGACTTCGCCCAGGCTTTGGCGCGCAAGCCGTCAGTGGCCGTAAGGAGGTGCCATTTGGTCACGCAGTCCCAGCCGCGCCCGCAGCTGATTATCCATGTTCCTTTTAGATTTGTTATTCAAGAGATTCCTGTTGACAGGAAATGTTTTTATACTTTACACATAAAATATGTTTCACATGTAATGCCTACATACGTGTTCAGATGAGTAGGGGTTTCCTGGTGGAATTGCTTCTTAAGGAGGGTGATTAAATGTAGACCATCAAAACAGTCCTTTGATCTGACTCACTGCCGACCCAGATGCTGGCACCCACTTGACAGTACTATTGGGTGGGGACAGCGAGGGGCCCCGCTGCCTGCGAGGTTTGGCGGCACACACCTTGAGAGGGTCACCTGCTTCATCCTGCGGGCCTGCCCCAATGCACACTGGGTAAAGAACCGTGTCGAACTCTGAACATCTGACGGCACGGTGTCAGCAAACTGGTGGGCTCCTCCGTGGCCGCCAGCTTTCTTGGCGCGTTTTGAAGCAGTGCGCAGGTTGTGGTTGGTGTCCACGCTCCTGCAGTCCCTGCACAGCAGGTCCCATCACTGCCCCCTGGGGGGGGAGACAGCGCCAACGCATGAGGTCAGCACTGTGAGCAGAACATTTCTAAGAGTCACGTATGTCTGTGCTGAAATCTCACGAGCTGCCCTGATACCTCCGCCGTGAACGCTGCTGACTTAATTTTGAGTGGTGTGCCGGTCGGGTGACTTTGCATTTTGATTTCCATACAGGAAGTCGGATGATAGCAACGGAGTAGAGAACAACGCCCCCAGGCAAAGAAAAAAATGTGAGTTACCTTTGAATGGCAGTCCAAGTAGGAGACGAAGTTCAGTACATGCAGGCTGCTTGTGATCCTGAATTTGGAACCAGGGATTGAACTCAGGCACTTGCGCTTGCCAGGGAAGCTCTTATTTCACTGAGCCATCTCCCCAGCCCCATCGGTCTGCTTATGAAGCCAGGTCCTCTTGTTTAGTTTCATGGAAGTTATTTAATACGTGTCTGAATATGTCTGCCTGTACTGTTACAGGAGAGAATATGGAGCATTACAAAAATACCAGCATCCTTTTCCAGCAGAGAATAGGTAGCAGTACGAAGCAAATGCCTCTTGTTTTTTTTCTCTGATCACCCTGGCTAGTTCTTTTCAGTGTTTCAGGTAGCCTTTCTCCTCCTCAAGTTTTCTGTGTTCCGTGACTTCTCATGAAGTCCTCTGTGCGTGTTGCTGTGACCGAATCGCCAGTAGCTGATTCCTTACTGACCAGAATCTGCTCACATCCTTGCCACTAGTGCCCCTTGTTCTGTTTTGTTGAGGTTTTTTTTTTTTTTTTTTGGTGGAACCAGGAATTGAACTCAGGCCCTTGTGCTTGCCAGGGAAGTGCTTATTCCACTGAGCCATCTCCCCGGCCTGTGCCCCTTGTTCTGGCAGGAGGTCAGAGCCCCACTTCCCAGGGCTGTGTTTGCCTTCCTAAGTGACAGTAAGTTTTTGTGGGATAACAGACACATTTGTTTTACTTCCTGTCTTACTCTTCTCTCATTGCTGGGACAAATACCAGACACTCAAGCTTAGGGAAGGAAAGGTTTATTTAGCTCACAGTTACTGGAGGTTTCATAGTTTAGAGCAGCCTGAATTACATAGTAAGACCCCGAGACTGCCGTTCCAAGCCACAGGGTCTGGGAGAGAGGCTGGGGCACCTCTGTGTCCAGGATGATCTGCTCCACACCTCTAAGAAAGCACAGGCTAGCTAGCTTAATTGATGGTCCGCGCCTCTCTGGCCCCGCCCCTCTCTGGCCCCGCCCCTCTCTGGCCCCGCCCCTCTCTGGCCCCCGCCCCTCTCTGGCCCCGCCCCTCTCTGGCCCCGCCCCTCTCTGGCCCCGCCCCTCTCTGGCCCCCGCCCCTCTCTGGCCCCGCCCCTCAAGCAGGTGCTTGCTCCGCCAGCCAGCTGCGCCTGCCGAGTAACTTACAGGAGGCTTTGGGGGAACAACTAGACACAAAGCCTAACACTTCCTTGTGCTTCATTTAACTCAGGAGTCTGCGAGCCGGATTGGAATGGAGATGACCACGTGGAGCTGCGTGGGAGAATGTGCAGAGACTTCGCCTTTCAGCTTTAAGAGCATCTGAGTTTATTTTTTCAAAGATAAAAGTTTACGCAGCATGTACAGCAGTAGCTTCTTGAATGATATATGCTATCTCAGGTCCAGAGCCTTTATTTTCATTTTGTTATTGTTTTATACTAAAGCAAGGTAAACTGTAAAATATGTTTTGTGAGCTGTGACACAGAGTAATTTTATCCTGGCCTTTAAGGGACGTCAGCAAAAGGAGTTAATAATTCATAGAATGATTAAAAAAAAATAGCCGAGGAGATAGCTCAGAGGCATACACACCTGCCTGAGGAGCACACGGTCCTGAGTTTGATCCCTGGTACTCCCAAAAATAAAAATAAAGATAAATAAAAATGAAAAATAAATAAAAATACTTCATAGAACAGTATCACTAAAGACCTTTTAAATAACCAAAGAATTTCATAAAACAAAAGTTGCTGGGGAGATAGCTCAGTGGAATAAGTGCTTGCCTGGCAAGTACAAGGTCCTGAGTTTGATCCCTGGTACCACCAAAAATAAATAAATAAATAAGTAAATGAAACAGAAGCCATTGCTATTTTTGTCTTAGGAAGTTTTTCCCCAGTCGCGCTTAGTACGCATAGACGTTAGTGTAAGTTTCCTGTGACGCTCATCCTGTGTCTTCATTAACAGTCGCCTGCGTGCTGCCAGTGACGGCTGCAACGTCTGTAAGCGGACTTTTCAGTCCGTATGTCCTGGCTTAGGGCAAGGGAGTGGCTGGGACTGGCGTGTGCTCCTGTAATCCCTCCGTTCAGGTGGCCGAGGTAGGACGATGGGGAATTGGAAGTCCGCTGCTTAGTGGGACCCTGTCTTTAAAGTAAAAAAGAGCTGGGGCTGCAAGCTGGGGCGGGGCAGGCCACCGACCCGTCTCCCCCGTGTGAGGCCCCTGGGTTCAGTCACAGTACCCGGGAAAGACAAAACCAGAAACACCAGAAGAGATCAAACACAAGCCCAAGTGCGCTCGCTCCAAAGCTCTGCTGCTGCCGAAGCTGCTCCCCGGGCTTTCCCACCCCAAGCCGAGGTGCTACCTGCCCGCCTGTGGAGCTTTTTTGTTGTTTCTGTCTTTTTAAGCCCCACAGCTTGACCTCGATGTCTCCAGGTGCGCAAGTGTCAAGGTGCGCAGGGCTGGCAGCCGGGGCCTCTGGTTCAGGGTTTCTTGGTGTCTTTGTTCTTGTTTTTGTTTTTTAATACTAAGTTTATATCCATGACTGGTTAAACATATAAAAATCTGCTATTAGTGCTTTATAATAATAGTTTTGAAATCCAGACGTATTAAAGAATTTTTTATTTTTGTAAATGCTTTAAGACAGTATCTTCAAAAGTAGGATAATCTGTATTGCATATGTAACTGAGGTGTTTTACAAATGAATTATGACCATATCCACTGAAGTTTGAATGTGCCTGGACATTTCCAGTAACTTTAAAGGAAGTAATGGAAATCACGCAGCACCATCAGGAGTCCGGGGTGCTGGGCGCCGGGGTCGCGCTGCTGCAGGGCAGAGCGGGTTCAGGGCAGCCAGCAGCAGAGAGGAGCCAAGGGCAGCCATGGAAGTGCCCAGCACCAAGGAACAGGGCTAGAACTTACCAAGAGGAGCACGGCGAGGCGGGACAAAAAGCCTTATCACGGTTTACACTTTGTATATCAGCTAAGGAGAGAAGGTTCTGGTCACGAAAATCACATCTTGGTTCCTGTTCACCAAGGTTGCTAGCAAGAGCAGTGCACGGAGCAGCTACTTGGAAGCTGCTTATTTTGCTGCAGTACAAAGCGCTGTGTTGCCACACACCTCAGCTACACAGGCACGTGGCGGAACGCAGCTCCTGTGGGCTAACTTCTTCACTCTTGAGCTCAGTGTTTGTTTGGGTTTAATTCATAATTTTACAAAATTACTAGGAGTGCTGTGGTGGTGGATGGCTTAATAAACTAAACAGAATCCAGGGAAAAGGGAGTCAGACCTGTTATTTAAGTTGGTCCAATTCAGTGTGGCTGTGTACTGTCACCCAGAGCGGGTTGCAGGCCCTGGGGGGTAAGCAGCACCATGAATTGCGGAGGCTGAGCTAGTGTGCAAGCAATGAGAACTGTTACTCCAAGGTCCAATAATCTGAAATATTGACACAGTAAGTTGAAATTTTAAATGGCAATACTCGCTACATATTTTTTTCTAGCAAAGTTCAGTAAAAGGAGAAAAACTCAACATTTAAGTTGTTATTTTTAGCTTTTGAAAGTCTCAGGAGGACTTTTAGAAAATTGCTTCACCCTTTTTTTTTTTTTTTGGTGGTACCAGCGATTGAACTCAGGACCTTGTGCCTGCCAGGCAGTCACTTATTTCGCTGAGCTATCTCCCTGGCTCCCTTTTAATGTATTTTTAAGACAGGGTCTACCCGGTCTACAGGGCCTCACTATGTAGACCAGACTCATGGTGATTCTCCTGTTTTCAGCCTTCCAAATGCTGGGATTACAGGTGCCTGCCACCATGCCCAGTCTCAGCGCTCCCCAGGAGGCTGGGCTAGCACTGCACGCTGGGGATGGAGCGCCTGCCGCTGCGCTCTGCCTAAGCAGGCGCTAGCTATCCAGTCGGCCCTGCCACTGTTTGATTGAAAATAGAACCCTCCCATTAACTAACTCCTTGAAGATAATAAATGGATTAACAGAACAAAAGCCTTTGTAACTTCACTGTGGACCCTGAACAGTGGAAAAGCGGCAGCGGCAAACTCCGTTGGGAGTCTGTCCCTCTTCCTGGCTCATGGATCTTTTTCAGCATAATGAGCCTTAATGGTGCTGACAGTTCCCTGCTTCCATAATCAGGAAGATGTCAATCTTGTCCTCCTGCATTCAGTGAGACCCAAACCTGAAGGCCACTGTGATGTGTTACTTTGGCCGCCCCAAAACTCTCCGATCCAGCCGCCCCGCCCTCTCTGCAGCTGTGACAGCCAAGGTTTTATTTTTATTTTATTTTATTTTTTTGGTGGAACCAGGGATTGAACTCAGATCCATGTGTTTGCTAGTCAAGCACTTATCCTACTGAGCCATCTACCCGGCCCGTAAGGTTTTATTTTTGAACTTCAGCCTCGCCTTCCCTCTCGGCCTCCTGGGCCGCTGCCCAAGGCCTTCTGTAGCACAGACCTTTCGTCACCTCCCGCGGTGGCCGCGCGCCAGCCTCCGCCCTTGCCGTGGCCCAGCGTCGTGGCCCGGGGAGCCGTCTGCGTGCTGCGACCAACCCTGCCCCGGACCCAACCCTGCGGGCCCGCGCGCGCCTCACACATCCCGGATTCTCCGGATTGCGCGTCTGGGAGGCCGTCACCCCGGGGCGGGGCGCACCTGCGCTTTCAGTCCCCTGTATTCCCAGCAGATTTGCGGGGTCCTTCTTGATTCTTTTTCTGTGCCCCGTACCATGAGGGTATGTTGGCGATGTCGTGAAATAAAATGCTTTTACTTACAGTAAAAATCCAACTTCATAAATTCATCCTTTTGGGAAAACAACCTTACTTTTTTTTTTTTTTGCGGAACCAGGGATTGAACTCAGGTCCTTGTGCTTGCCAGGGAAGCACTTATTCCACTGAGCCATCTCCCCGGCCCTTAGGAAAACAATTGCAAAGCAAGTCAAAGGTGATGAATATTTTAACCAAAGCCGGCCGGGACAGCCTCCCTACGCTGTAGTATGGACCGCGCTGCGCTCCGCATCTTCAGCCTCATCATTCTCGGTTCCGTGCGGAGTGCGCAGCCCATGGCTCTGCGCCGAGAAGCTGCTGGCTTTGCAGAGGACTGGAGCGGTCATCCTCTGCGTGGTATTGAGGTTTGGTTTTGGTCCCTGAGAGTTTGTCTTTCATCAGATTCATGAAAAGAAAAACTCGGGACTGCTTGCTTGTCTTTTGGGTTTCCCTCTTAGACGGATTTCACAGGTTTATGCAAAATGATTTACTGCGTCCCTACCAGAGTTCTCGTTAGGATGAAACTTTTTTTTTTTTTTTTTTTCACTAGGGACCGAACTCGGGACCTGCTTGCCAGGCAGGTGCTGTGCTGCTGAGCGTATCCTCAGCCCTCAGATGACTCTTCTGTAACTGAAAAAAAAAAACCCCATTCAAAGGGGGAGGGACACGGTGCCCTGAGAGGCTGCTTGGGGCTCAGGCGCATCCGGGTTTATGCTGCAGCTTAATTAAGAGGCACAGGGCCTGCTTGCGGCGTGCTCTGAATGAATGTTGATTGAATAAACGAAAAATACAGGATTGTCAATTAACTTTTTTAAAAAAAATATTTATTTTTATTTATTACATTTATTTATTGTGTGTGTGTGTGTGTGTGTGTGTGTGTGTGTGGACAGCTCAGCCCACCAGGGGGCGGGGCTGGCTGGCATGTGGTACTGGAGGATCGAACCGATGTCCCTGTGCTTTGCCAAGTTTGTTTCAAGTAGGTGCTTTAGACCACTGAGCCATCTCTCCAGCCCCTGTCAATTAACTTTTGAATCACAGAATTGTGCACATTTACCTATTTTCTGCTTTAATTTTGATTAATTAACCCTCATTTGGCCCTGCTCTGTTATGGAAATGGAGAAAAAGGAAAAGAACATGGCGCTTTCTCTTGGTTTTAGGAAAGCGTTCAGACTGCAGGCAGGGCATGAGTGACGTGGCTGCTCATCATCCAGTGAAGGATGTGGCGTGCTGTGACAGCAGCTGCTAGTGTGCAGCGTGCACTGCGGGTCGGCCCTGCACACCAGGGTTGGCCTGCACACCGCCGGTC